TCCTGCAGCGGGCATGGACAGCGTATGGCCCGAGGACTGTACGCAGCCCTGCTGTCCTTGGTCAAGCCCGCAAGTAGGTAGGAGGCAGGTTAGCAAGGCTGGTAGCCAGGCTGTGGTGGCTAGTGAAGCTGGTGATGGTTCACCTGCCAGCTGGTTAGCACAGGCTTAGCCACGGACCAGCAGCAGTGTGTGCTGGTCTTCACCCAACCTGCAGATGAAAGAAAAGCTGATAGAAGGACATGCTGGAGCTGCAGGCATTGTGTCTTGTGCTCATGGAAAGCGTGCAGGGGACCAACCTTCATTTGTTTCACTGCTTATGAATCCCTTGAGTTTATTGCTTTGGTGAGACCCGTAAAAAGCTTTTTTAGTACCAGGAACCACTGCTCTGTAATTCCCAAGTGCTCTTCCTATCCCTCTCCCTTACCTGTGAGACCCCAGGCTCTTTCTTAAGGTCCTAAAGGTAGCTGCTAGTGGCTTGGAGATGAGCAGCTTGCATAGGTAGGGTAGGGTGAATGCCATCAAACTGCCAGCTTCTTTTACATCTGTCATGTTTATGAGACCTTTAACTACTCCTTGTGTATTGGGCTCCATGCTTTAGGTAGAACAGACACTTTTCAATACTGGATACCTTAATAAATGAAAAAGCCTTGAATGCATCAGCCTCCTCTGTGCCAAGCTTTATCTTCCCTCTTTCCTGTAAGTGACGACCTGTATCGTTTCTTTGTCTTGACCTTATTCCTAAGGTATTTCCAGTACCTTTCCTTTCTGCCTTTTATCCTTCTGGACAGTTGCCTCAGGGTTTCATGGTGTTCCTTTGAGTAACCAGCCAGATGTGAATGTCGCTGGGAATTTCCTTCGGAGAAGTGCAACCTACCACTTCCCTGAGTTTATTCCCTCCACGGTCTGTTGTTTGGATCCATCTACACCTGCTGGGGTATTTAATACATTTGCAGGCTGGAAATAGTTACTATTATGCTCAAAAGTCTAAAGCATATCCATGAATGATTTCAAGAGGGAGGTAGCCTGTACTCAATGGAATTGTATATTCAGGGCTAGATTTTGACATCCTGCCCACACAAAGCAGCATTTGACTCCAGGAATGGTCCAGGAACTTCTCAGCGGTAGCCCACCTGGGATCACTCCATGTGCATGCGGTGTGTTAGGATCCAGCCCTATAGGATGCACGCCGAAGGAAATAGGAGTTCTGGCAGCATTAATACAAATATATGCGATAATATCCAAAGAAGCTCACAAAAACCTCTCTTTTTCCACCATTTCTTTTTTTTTTCTTTTTCTTTTTCATATTATTTATATGTATTTGGTTTCCACTCTAGGAACTCAGGGGGTTTTGCTCTCTCGGGTAAACTGCTGGGACTGGCCTGGCGTTTGCACAAAGGAGAATGTCACTCAGTTTCCTACCATCAAGATTTACGAGAAGGGAGAGCGATCCGTGATGTACAATGGCATGTGGGGAACCGAAGAACTGACCAGCTTCATCATGCTGTGAGTGTCTGTTAATGAGTCCCCACACAGTAAGACTGGCACATCTGCTAGATGATGTTCTGGATACTTCACGGCCTGTGTAATGGAAACCCTTTTGGAAAAATAATGTCAGATCTGACTGTAGACCTGGTTTGGAAATCAGCTTAATATCTCTTTGTGCTTTTCAATGTCAAGGAACATCTGTTCTTGGACAGCGCATCCATCTGTTGTCACTGTCCCCCTCTCTGCTGGAATTCCTTCTCTGTTATTTTTAATGGGGATCCCAAGGATCTCAGAGCAACCAGTTTGGCTCAGGGCTGTTCTCTCTTCCCCATAACCAGCTCCAGTGCCTTTCTGTGACTAGGTGTTGTTCTTCCTTCCCAGGCAACCTGTTTTTGCCTCTAGTGAGTCATAACAGTTGTCATATTGAGTTGGGGCATTGTTGGATTGAGGTTGCCCTTTTGTGAAGGGCATCCCAAAAGTGAAGAAGGTGGCAGCCTATGTTGTTTCTCTGCCTTTCCGTAGGAGCCGAGTTTCCTGCCCTCTGAAGCTGGCCACGATTGAGGAAGCAGAAGGATATTTAAGAGGAGAGTTTCCATCTGAGCTGTCATCCTATCCCCACACTTCGATTCTAGGAGTATTTGGCACAGCCACAACTGAAGGTTAGTGTGGTATTTGTGGATAAAGCACTCAGTTTCATTCCTGATGGGAGAGGGATGATTCCAGATGTTTGGAAGTTCCTCTGTGTCTCATTTTTTCTAAGCATGTTTGCTCACATCACAGCCTGCCTGGCACCACCCTTTTTAATTTTGTAAGTAGAATTTTTGTAAGACCACAGGTGATTCCAGATGTGGGACCTAAGGTCCCTATCCTGGCTCAGAGGACGTTCAGCTGCCAGGCACGTTTACTACATCCAGTGTGGTAGCATCTGACAACCCTGACGGAGATTGAGACATCGTGCTTGGCACAGTACAAAATGGCAGTGCCCTGGGTGACCTGTCTCTGTAAAGAAATTTTTGCAGATGCCCAATCTGAACTTACCAAGCCATGATTTGTGCCTGTTGTCTCTGTTGTGTCTCCTGCCTCTTACTGTGAAGACTTTGGCTCTGTCCTCTTCATAAGTCCCCTTCAAAGTAGTTGTAGGCTGCCATTAAATCCTGTCTTAGCCTCTGACTGAACAAGCCCAGATCCATCAGCCTCTTGTAGTCCATGTACAACATGTTGCAACATACTCTTGCTTAAACAAAGCCCTTTCCACTATTGGATTGATAGTTATCTTGCTGACTTCTGCAAATGTGGTAGTCCCAGTCCTTGCAACTAACACACGATCCAAAACCCTTTTTTTTTTTAAAAAAAGCAAAGCAGCAATAAGGTAAAATACAAATTTCTTACATCAAAAGGAATGAAATGTGAATAACTCAATGAAATCCACTTGTGGACTTTGAAATAGGTGGGCACAGTCCCCAGAGTGGTGGGCATCAGCTAGAAATGCTAAGCGGAGTTGCTGGAAGGAGTGTTCTGAACTTGTCTGAATTTGTCTCACTTTGTACTCTCAGTCAGTATAGTCCTGGCCAGCGGCTGAAACTTGGAGGCATCATGCTCTCCCTCTCCTGCCTGCTCAGATGCTGCTCCAGCATCATTCGTGGCGTGCCATAGCTGTGGTCCAGGATCCGGTGGGTTTCCACAGCCTTTCTGAAAGATGAGAAAATGGACCCAAGCACGATGGTGATTTTTCATGTGGCAATCATACATTAACAAGGGAGAAGGAGTTACAGAATCAGAGAATCATTAAGATTGGAAAAGACCTTTAAGATCATCAAGTCCAGCCATCAACCCAACACCACAATGCCCACTAAACCATGTCCCAAAGTGCCACGTCCACACATTTTTGGACCTCCAGTGATGGTGACTCCACCACCACCCTGGGCAGCCTGTTCCAATGTTTCACCACTCTCTCAGTGAAGAAGTTTTTCCTAATCTCCAATCTAAACCTCCCCTGGTGCAACTTGAGGCCATTTCCTCTCGTCCTATTGCCAGTTACTTGGGAGAAGAGACCAACACTCACCTCACCACAACTCTCTTTCAGGTAGTTGTAGAGAGCGATGAGGTCTCGCCTCAGCCTCCTCTTCTCCAGACTGAACAACCCCAATGAAATCAGTCTGGAAAGGGAACATCATGTCATGCTTCAGTCAAATCCACAGTGGAGAGCTAGAACCTTCCAACCCCACGGTCTCTCCATTACCAGCTACCCCTGGGAATTACTGCAGTAAAAAAGGGAGATTTTTCTGATCTTTGTGAAGGTCAAAATTTCAGACTGTTTTTCATTTTGAAGCTCTGTTGTGCCTGTAAACTTTGGTTAGATGCAAATCAAGGTACTTTCTCACATGAGGAGGTCCAGAGGGAATCCACTGTGCTCAGAGGTAAGAACAAAATAAAATGTCTGGAACCAACCAGAAAACATTTGGGCTGTGTTCACTGCGCCAGCTGAGAGCTAATATGCCTGCCTTCTTCTGGAGTGCCTATGTCGAAGTCTGTTAAATATAGCAGAAAATCTTACTGATCTCAAAACCCCTTTAGCCAGTTTCTGCCTGGTTTTCATCAGCTGAGCTCCAAAATCTTCCCTCTATTCCACGTATTCCACTCTCTGCAGTAGTGGAGCCTGGATTAGCCCCATGCTAGGACCTGGGGCAAGATGGGGACGATGAGGGGGGTTCACGGAAGGAACCTGCCTGCATCTGGCTGGAAGTGTGAGCGCAAACTCTTTCCTGTATAGGAGAAGTTAATATCCCTCTGCGCAAACAAGAGTCTTGCAGGTTTCCAGACAGCCCTGTGCGGAGATTGCCCGGAAGATTGCCTCTTCCCTCGGGGCACGCTCCGTCTGCAATGTGGAATGGCATCCGCAGTCTGGGGTAGCTCAGCCACGGATGCCAAGGGAGATGAAGTACGTGGTGCTTTCACTGCCGGTGCCCTGAGGGGGGTTCGAGTGTCATGCAGGACGACCTGAGGGAGCAGAAGACTGGAGCCAGCTGTTCTGGCACCAAACCCAGGCCAGAGTCAGGGAACCCACATTGCTGCTCTTATCAGCTTGCAGACTTATCTGGAATTTCCAATGATTTTCTCACGGCAAGAATTGCTGCTGTAACCTGAACCAGCAATGCACCCTGTCATTGCCGTTTCTCATTAACTGGAACAGAGCAATGAGATGTCCTGTTAAATAAAGACCTGGATTTTTTCCGACACTTAGTGTCAGAACTATGTTAAGAAGCCCTTCAGTGGGGCTGGGCTAAAAGAGGCTTGCCAGAAAAATTATAATTAATATTTATGACAAAGAAGTGAATGGTATTACTAGGGCAATGAACGAGCACTTTCCTGGAAACTCGGGGAAGTTATAGGAGAGAAATTTGTTTGCTCTGCAGAAACTGGAAGCATACTTGGAAGTAAGACTCTGTCCTAAACCATGCAGCAAATGTTTAAAAATACACCTGTGTTCTGCAGAGCTCTGGTAACATCGTAGGGCTTGCCAGCATCGGTGTAAACCAAGTGAAGGCGGCATGCAAAGATGCTACAGGTGCTGCTGGAGGGCATGGTTTCGTGAGATGCCTTCTGCTAGAGGGGCAAGGGGTGATGCTCAGATCCTGACTCCGAAAACTCTGCAGGAGCTGTAGATCCTTCCTCATCTGGCAGTTTTATTCCTTCTTGTTCCCAAATCCTGCAGTGAAGCTGGGCTTGTGCAATTCACGGCAGCTGTCGTGGAAGGCAGCTGGGATTCCAGCTCGAGGCGTGTGCTGCAGCACGTGATCAGGCCCCGCAGGGAATTAAAGTGGTGCTCTCAGGGGGCACTAATTTTCCAGGAAATATTTAAACAGCTTCTTTAAAAGTGCTTCGTGTCTGTAGTGCAGCTGTGTGAATTTGGAGGGTTTCTTGCACACAGCTAAGAGACCGTTGCCGTGAGCTGTTGGGATCTGAAGGTTGGTGCATGGCTCCGGGTCTGGCACAGTCCCCAAAATACAGAAAGATTTGGGAGTGTGATAGGGAGGGAAGATCTCGTCAGGACTGACCCTAATGAAAGGAGTAAGCCTGGACTCTGCTGAAAGTTGTCCTGATTTAGGAGACAATTCCTGCAGCCAGGGCTGCTCCAGGGCAGCACTTCAACACGAGCTTGCATCTCAAGTGAGGGTTTAAAGTTAAATGCCTGTAGAAGTGCCCTCCTGAGGAAGTTTGGATGTGAGCCTGCTCTTTCTGCGTTAGGCTGTGTCCTTCGGTGCCTTATGGCACAGGGTGGGCTGACGGTCTGCCCCACGGCCTCTTCTCCAGTAGCTGGGAAAAAGACAACTTCACAGTTGGTGAAGTTCTCGGTGATCCTTATCAGCCGGTCTGATGGGTTGCTTCTCTTCCAGCATTGATAAAATCAAGTAACCAAAGAGCTGGAAACCAACATCAAACCCATCCAATGGTGATTTCTGTATATCCCAAGATGAACCAGCCAAGCTGTGTCACCAGCTTTGTTGTCTGTGTGTTGTTTCCTACAATGTCTGAACCCTCAATGAGCCACTCCTTTAAGGATCTAAGCTTCCATTTGGAAAGGAAAATAGTGTAGAGGAAAGCTTGTGGTCCCTGTGGTTCCAGGGAAAAACAACGGAAAATACGGCTTTGATTGTAGCTGGAAAGCAGGAGGCAAAGAACCAAAAAGCGACCAGTTGTGAGCCAGCCTCAGTCTACTGTGGTCTGAGTCACCGGTCCCAGGAGCTTGGGCTGGCCAGTTGTGATATGACGGTGAATGTTACGAGGAACACTAAATAGTATCTGAATGAGATCTTATTTAGGTTACAAAGCAACCTATATCATGGCTGTATCTGAGATGTAACCTTCAGTTTTGGGAAAACATGACTTCTCCAAAGAGTGATTTCTCACTCTCCTTAAGTCGGAAGCGCCTTTTTTTTTCTTTTTTGTGCTTTCAATTGCTCAATACCAAGGGGGGTGTGTGTGTTGAAATCCGCCCCGTTTTCACCCTACCTTTGGCAGCAGCGGTCTTGATGTCTGATCTATAACTGTGTTTCACAAGCTCACGCGCTATGGCTTGCGTGTTCTCACAAAGCTTGCCTCTCCCATGGATCCAGCTGCCTAAAACTGAGACTGTTTTATGAGGGTATAAACCAGCTCTGGTGTCAGCTTCCTTTGGGGCTCTCACTCTCTCAGCACAGATAGATTCAGCTGTGATGGATGAAGAGAGCCCCGACCCAGTCCTTTCCTCCCCATCCGCTACCTGACCTCGCCATCTCCATCAGGCGAGTGGTGGATCCCCGCAGCCGCTGCACGTGGGTTTATGCTGAGCTGCGGCGGCGGCGGCGGTGCTGCCCTCTCTTTGCAGCTGCACAAAGCGGTGAGCAGGCCATGTCTGCAAGGTGTTTAGCTTTTTGATCCTCCCTATCCTAGCTGGATGCCTGGAACAGTCCCTGCTTGCTCCGAGGAACTGGATAAAACCAAAAGACACTTGAGGGAGATGTTGGTTTATCTGCTGGGCTCTTAGCGCTACTCCAGTTAAGTCATCATCAGTCACTTCCGAAAGGTCACTAGGATTTATAAGATTTCTGTTTAGACTTACAGCTGGTCTCCTGTTTCTAAGAACACTTATGGACTTTAAGTCCTTAAAGACATTTCATTTTCCATCAGTGCCTCTGTCACGCAGATCCTGGAAACAGTGCTGGTGGGTAAAGAGTAAATACTGTTCTCGTAATAGGAACTTTCCTTCTGATCCTGTCAGCCCCTGCCAACTCCTCCTCCCATAGCCTGCGGCCATGAGACGCATCTATTCCTCATGAGCCTCTAATCAGTTTTCTTCCCAACAGACAGTTTGCTGTGGGAGAGTGCTATGGATGCAGACAGCCATTTGGTTTCCAGGAGGAAGCTGGCACTTCTCTTTCTATTGTTTATTTTTGTATCTTTGTCTTTTTTAACAGCCAGGGAAGCTTTCGAAGAGGCAGGAAACATCTTAAGTGGCCATGTAACGATGGGGATGTATTTTGAAGATGATGCCTTGGCTTTGTAAGTTGTTTCTCTTTTTTCTTTGGTGAGAATTCAAACTGATTTGCATTTAGTGGAAGCCAATGCCTAGAGCAAGCGTCACTGGCCGTGCTGAGTGTTTAGCGGCATCCCCAGACTACTACGAGTGACTTAGTCCTGTAGGGAGATTGGTCAGGACTCAGCTGGAGAGAGATATTGCTCTGGCTCTGCCACCGATTTACAACCTGTCCATGGTCAACTCATTTAGCCCTGGTATAATGAATGGCCATCTCCCTTCCTGCTGTTCAAGTTCACTCTAGGTGTTTTCAGTCCTCCAACTGCACCAGCCCTCCATGCATCTGTTGGGTTCCTCATACAAACAGGACCAAACTTATATGGGGAAAAAACAGGCTGGAAAAATTATATCCTCTAGCTAGGATCAATGTGCGAGGATGAAAAAACAGTTTTGCCCTTCTCTTGCCATCAGAAAGAAGTGACAGATTGTTACTGCTCTTCCTCTTTCTGCAGCCCCTTCACCTTCTCGTGAAGGCCTCTCCCTGCCCTGATGCTGCGAAAGTGCCTGCTGAGGTGGGGACGGGGAAGGGGAGCGTAAGGGGATTGCTGCAGAGCCCGGGGTCTAAATGTGAGTCTTGCTCTGATGGTCGCCCCCAGCTGCCAAGAGCAGCCAAAACAGAGGCTGCTTGTGACTGCTGGGGGGCTTTC